CCAATGCAATGCGTCATTTGATTTCTTGACTGCTGCTTCCATGAGGTTGATTGTGGATCCAAGTAAATCAATGCTAGCCTTCTGAAATTCTTTAAAAGATTCTGAATGACTTTTTTAGAATTTCTATAAAAGTCTCTTTTGAAAGTCTCTAATTAAACCTACTTTTAATCAACTATTACTATCCAAGATAAATCTTTTCATTTTATTGCTTTTCTCTTTAATTATTTTCTTCTGGTTTTCATTTTTACTACATTTTGATTGTTTTCACAAATTAGCCTAGCAACCTAACCAACTGATAAAGATTGAATGCAGAATCCCAAACCAATAAATTTCTCAAATACAACTTGTTTCCAGTTAGGGGCTTCCGATCCAGTCTGTGAGTTTAGAATTTTAAAGGACTGAGTTTCTGAAAAGTGATAATATAAAGGGAGTATTTAGTAACTCAATTACTTCAAACACCCCACTCCCCAAGCATTTGTGAGTAAGATGACATTTATTATAATAATAGAAGATGTGTTTGAACAGCACTCTAGGCACTGGCATTAGACAGACCATAGCAGAGTCTCAGATGATTTCCTACAAATGGCCAGCTGACTTGGGGCAAGTTTTCTCATGAGTAAAATGGGGATAAACAATAGTATGAGTAAACGACACAGTAATGGAAAAAGAACTTATCACCATGCGTGGCATATTATAAACACTCAACAAATGTTAGCTATCACTGTTACACCACTGACTAAGACCAAGACCTGTACTTGGTTATTTTTCTGTTACTGTTGACAGCATTCTGCTGATTCAGTGACACACATTTTATCAATGAGATGCACATTCAAGACCAATGGTTAGGAAGCACCTTAGAAAGAAAAAGGTAGAGACTGTTAACTTCATAAAGAATATTAATCTTAGGCTAAACAAAATGACATGATATAAACTTAATACCACTCCTGTACGTCACACAAACACAAACATTCAGCATTTAAAGAGTATAACATAGTAGTTAAGATCGCAGATTCTAGTGTCACACAAACTTAAACTGGAATCCCACTCTTGCCACTCAAACTTTGGTCATTGTTATTTTCAGACTAGAGCCATAACAGAAGATAAAGAATGAAATCATTATAATCACTCTATAGCTAAAGTTTCAGGCATTAGTCTACCAGACAATTTTACAAATAAAGTGGTTCCCAAGTCAACTGCCTACTTACAGAAATAACAATAGATAACATTTGCACAGTTATTATGTGCCAAGCATTGTGCTAAGTACTTTTCAGGGATTATTCCATTCCTTACAGCAACCGTACGAGACAAGTCATTATTATGTTCACTTCACAGATGAGGACGTTGAGAGGAAAACTGTTTTACCTAAGATCTCACAACAGGTAAGATGAAGAGCCAAGAGTCAAACCCAGCAGTTTACCTCTAGGGACCACATTCTTAGCCAATACAACATTCTGTTTCCCAAGAAATAATACAGGGCCAACTAATAAGGAATATTCAAGTAAAACATGATATATGACTTCCAGAAAGGAATGCTTTAATTTGAGCGAGATCTGTAAGTAGCACCCATACGTAAACATATAATCTTAGCTCTTTTTATCATTATAAGACATAAGACAATCAGGGGGTAAGAGCTTCATGTAATATTAATTTGAACTAAAAACAAATGACCTAGAAGTTCAAGTTCCTATTTCACGATTCATGTGCACAATCTTATTTTAGTAAGTATGCTGTTATAACACATTTTACAAATCCATCTAATTTAAATGTGTTTATTTTTTCAAGATGTTTTAAGCTTAAAATCACATGAAATGGCTCTCGAGCTCTTACAGTTTCATTTTTAAGGGGCAAACACTATTATTAATAAAGAAAAAGAAAACACAAAATTCTCTCTCTGATACTCATTTATTGTTTTAGGTCAAAAAGTCCTAAGCAGGTCAGAACAGATGTCTTAGTTATCTAGTGCTGCTATAAGAGAAATACCACAAGTGGATGGCTTTAACAAACAGAAACTTATTCTCTCACAGTTTAGGAAGCAAAAAGTCCAAATTCAGGGTGTCAGCTCCAGGAGAAGGCTTTCTCTGTCAGTTTTGGGGGAGGGTCCTTGTCATTAATCTTTACCTGGTCTAGGAACTTCTCAGTGCAGGGACCCCGGATCTAAAGGACGCACTCTGTTCCTGGCTCTTCTGGCTTGGTGGTAATGAGGTTCCTCTCCTCTCTGCTCGAGTCTCTCTCTTATATCTTAAAAGAGACTGACTCAAGATACAACCTAATCCTGTAGCTTGAGTCCTGTCTCATTAATATAACTGCCTCTAATCCTGCCTCATTAACATCACAGACGTCAGAATTTACAACACACAGTTATGATGGTTAAGGTTGTATGTCAGCTTGGCTAGGCCATGATTCTCAGTGGTTAGATAGTCATGTGATTGTGTGATCACCTCCATGATGGGATCTGCCGTGAGTAGCCAATCAGCTGAAAGGGAGTTTCCTTGGGCATGTAGCCTGCATTGAACATAAGTGGATATTCTGTCAAGGCTTGTGGACTTCTGCTTGTGCTGGATCCTGCAGCTGGCTCCTGTTCATCTGAACTCTGGTTCTTGGGACTTGAGCTAGCAGCTTACCTTTGGTCTTGCCTGCTGATCTTTGGGATTCATCAACCTTCACAACCACCTCCATGATGGGATCTGCCGTGAGTAGCCAATCAGCTGAAAGGGAGTTTCCTTGGGCATGTAGCCTGCATTGAACATAAGTGGATATTCTGTCAAGGCTTGTGGACTTCTGCTTGTGCTGGATCCTGCAGCTGGCTCCTGTTCATCTGAACTCTGGTTCTTGGGACTTGAGCTAGCAGCTTACCTTCGGTCTTGCCTGCTGATCTTTGGGATTCATCAACCTTCACAACCTGTGAATAAGAGCCTTGGTCTCCGATCTGCCAATCTTGGGTTTGCCAGCCCCGTTGGCTACATGCATCAGGAGAAGCTTCTATTCTGACCCACGGACTTGGGATGTTCCAGCCTCTGCAACCTCGTGAGCCATTTCCTTGATATAAATATCTCTGTATGTATATATTATACACTTTACTGGTTTTGCTTCTATAGAGAACCCACCCTAAGACGACAGGATAATCACATCAGATCACAAAATGGTAGACAACCACACAATACTGGGAATCATGGCCTTGCCAAGTTGAAACACATTTTTGGGGAACACAATCCAATCCGTAACGATAAGTTATCAACTATCTTAAACGGTATTTCTTCCTTTTGTTTCAATCAGTTAATTAAAATTAACCAATCACAAACACTGTGACTAGTTGACTAATCCTTTAGAACTCATACTGGCTTCCTAAGATAGGATAAAACTCTTACCCTGAACTTCAGAAGTTTTCATCAGAAATATACAAAACAAAACCAAAAAACAAACCCATTGCTGTCGAGTCGATTCCAACTCAGTGACCCTACAGGACAGAGTAGAACTGCCCAGTAGGGTTTCCAAGGAGCAGCTGGTGGATTCAAACTGCCGACCTTTTGGTTAGCAGCCAAGCTTAACCACTGCATCACTAGGGCCCCTCATCATAATAACCATCATCTAATTTCTAATTTATGTTTTCTTTCTACTACTTTGTTATACTACTCACTTGAGACAACTCA